TGGCTACAAGACATACAGGAGGTATTTCACGCAGGCGTCGACAAGAGGATGTATGATCTTGGTAAGTCGAGCATACCCTCCTCCGAGGTCATGCAGCAATTGCATGACGGGAACGGTAAATAACTGTCCACAACATCTACAAGAACCCAAGGGGCTCACTGGAGGTGACTCAATTATTCGCTTCGGCCGCTGACCACGCCACTCCCATAGGAGGGGATTTCAATGCACTTCATCCCTTCCTAAGCTCGGTAAGCCCCACAAATGAAGACGGCCTACACCTATACACCACCTTTCAAGACACACCCGAGATCTGCCTCCTAAACACCGGAGAGCCCACCCACATTAGGGGAGGAAGGTTAGAACTAACCTTCGTCTCCAGTACACTACAGCCTTCGGCCTCCTGCCAGCTACACCCCACGCTGACCAGCGACCACTTTGGCACCCTAACAACACTGAAGGTGATCAAACTCCCCACTCCACTCCCACCGAGATGGAGATACAATACCCAAAAGGCGGACTGGGAACTCTATAGGAAACACCTGGCTGAGTGGCGCGCCAAATCACTGCCGGCTGGTGCAGCACCCGTGGACGAGACAACCCTCCACCAACAGTTGGTCGAGGCGTTTCACCAAGCGGCAGAAGAGGCTATTCCAAAAACAAAACCTACATGAAGACAGTACAAGGATTACTGGTACTACTGCCCCAGGGTGAAAGAACTCAACCACAGAGTGAACATGGCCCGAAGAAACTACAGAAGACATCCCACAGACACAAACAGACATCTCCTGGAAGACATAGTCAAGGATACCAGGGAAGAAAAGGAAGAAATCAAAAGCGCAAGCTGGCTCAAGTGGTTCTCCCTACTGAACGAGCACACCTCCCTCGGCAAAATGTGGGCCCAGATCCGAAGGGCATCTGGGAAGGCAACACTACCAAAACCAACCCATCCCAACCCATAAGAGGAAGCCGAGAGACTTGCAAAACTCTTCTCCGACCGAGCAGCAACGAAAAACCTCCCGAGACATGCGGAAGAGACACAACGGTGTCTGCGACAGCCCAGACTCCAGATGATCGAAGAGGCCTGCAATGGTGAAGATGACACCGACAGACCCTTCAACCAGCAAGAACTCCAGAAGTCGATAAAATGAAGCAAGGACACAGCACCAGGGGCTGACAGGATAACCTACTCCATGCTTTCCCACGCCGGAGAAGCCGGGCACGAGTCGTTGCTACAAGTCATCAACGCTTCGTGCATAGCACAGAGACTTCTACCGGAATTGAAGAAGGCAGATATACAGCCCATTCCGAAGCCCAGAGAACCAGACAAACCAAGACCCATCTCCCTCTTCAGCTGCATAGCGAAAACGGGAGAAAGAATGGCTCTCAACAGACTCAAGTGGAAAGTCGGCAGCCCACACCCTCACATTTTTGCTTACACCGAGAACACCGGCACAAGCAACACCATCGCCGAGATACTCAGCACAGTGGACAATAAACCAGCTTTGGTGGTCTTCCTCGACCTGGAGAAGGCCTTCGAACTAGCAAATCCACTGGCCATTATAACGACGCTCGCCGAAAAGGGCGTCAAAGAAAGGTTGCTGGGGTGGATCCAGAACTACCTCACACAGAGAGAAGCAAGAGTACGCATTCAGGGGGCAACGTCAAGCTACAGGGTCCATGAAAACGGAACCCCACAAGGAGGCATCCTCAGTCCAACGCTGTTCAATGTCCTGATGAAAAATCATGTCAGACTTCCTTTCAGACAAACAGCCAAGCTCCTCTGCTATCCAGACGACTTACAGCTCATAGTAAGAGGAGCAAACAGACCAGTCAACACTCAATCCAACTTATAGAAGAGGAGTGCAACAGACTTGGACTCAAGATAAATCCAGCCAAGTCAAAAGCGATGGCCATCTGCAGAGACACACCAGACACGATGCTCTCCATACAAAACACGCCGGTAGTCTGGACCAACACCCACCAGCGTCTTGGAATCTGGTTCGACCAGAAACTCACTTTCAAGCCGCAACTCGAGTATCTCAGGCACAGGACGAAGAGCAGACACAACATAATGAGGTCGCTCACCAGCACAACCGCAGGAGCGAACATACACGTGCTCAAAGCCTACTACACGGCTGCCATCAGATCGCCGGTAGATTACAGTGCTTCAGCGCTCATTGGACTGAGAGAAGACCAGATAGCTAAGCTAGAAGTTATCCAAAATAATGTTCTCAGGACCATGCTCGGAGCACCCATGTGGACAAGATTTGCAATTTGCAAATGGAAACTGAACTACCACCTTTGGCAGTACGAGTCAAGCAGGTCACAGCCGGACTCCTTGCCAAAATCTGTAGATCAGATAAGCCCACAGATGCCAAAACGCGAATCAGTGCCTTCCTCCACCTCGACCACAGAGTGCGAGGGGTCACCTGGTCGCACGGGGCAAGCGAGGTCATGAGGCTCCTGCAAGCAGAAACACTCGTCAAGAACAACCAAGACACACGAGACAGGGATTATGTAGTTCTATTACCATGGAGCCCTCCACCAGCCACATTCAAAATTACCGAACTAGGTAATAGCAAAGCCAACCTCCAGAAGGACGTCAAAAGAATAACTCTGGAGGCCATAGCCACCGAGACACCGGCTGATGCAGCATCATACTTCACAGACGGCTCGGTGGACCCAAAACATTATAGATCCGGAGCGGCCTTCTACACTCAAGGTCAGACCCTCCTATGGAGAGTTTCTAATGACATCTCCACCCTACAAACAGAGTTGGTAGCAATCTCAAAGGCCCCACAACACGCTGCAACAGAACACAATAAGTCCATCATAATTCACACGGACAGGTAGTAGGTAGTAGACAGCTACTAAACAGGGAGGTACTACCGCCTGGGAAGATATTGGAAGCATAAAGTGTTGTCTAATGGTGGACCCTGCTGCTATATGGCATCACAAAAATTATGACCAAGTCCCAGGTTGCTCATCTGACTTTCTGCCTCATTTACACACAATTGCAGGGTCTCAATTGTTTCTCTTATTTCGACAACACAACATACATAATGTATATCGTTTCTCATTCTTGATTTTTTTTTTCGTTTTTGTATTTATTTATAGTTATTATTATTATTTTTAGTACAGTATTTTGTTATTAATTTTTATGAATTATTATAATAATAATAATAATAATTATTATTATTATTATCATTATTATTATCATTATCATTATTATTATTATTATTATTATTATTATTATTATTATTATTATTATATTTTCGCCCCCCAGGCGCTGATGTGGGTCAGTGACTTGTGCCCGGGTGGGACTAATCCCCGTAAAAAAAAAAAAACACCTACCGGAGATAATATTCCCGGAGAATCCAGAATCCGAAAAAAATACTTTAGGTAACATGCTCAACTGAACTGAAAGAAAGACTACAGCTAGGAAAAAGGTATTAGCAAGGAGCAACAGCTTGAATCTGCTGAAGATATTGGATTACAAGTGGTCACTACACCAAAACATGGAATCCCAACATCGAGACCAACAAGAGGGACAATAGCTAAAAACTGTGAAGGAGGGATATACAAGTGGACATATCAAGAAAAATCCCTAAGCAAAGAATACGTTTGGACGCTAATCACTATGGACAAACTAAAGATTACGACCAATGACTTTAAAATACTAGACCCGTCAGAGTTTAGAAGAGTCAGAAGCGGGAAACAGGACGATAGGTCTCCACTCCAACTGCCACAATCCAAGTATAAGAAATAATGGACAATAGACAAACAGTAAGAACTTTAAGAATAATACAACACAACGTAAGAAACTGGAAGACCGAGAGAATTAACCTAAGTAATATATATCAAGAAATTGACCCTGACATTATACTAATAAACAGTCACGGTGAGACAGACAACAACAACATAAAACTCTTTAACTATTATGTAAACCAAAGAAATAAATCGGGCGAGAAAAATGACGGAGTAGCGATAGCGGTTAAAAGAAACTTAAAATTTAAACTAATTGATGACTTCCAGGATGAATTTCTAGCAATAAAAATAAATACAACTCAAGGAGACTTAATCATTGCTACTACTTATCTGCCACAGAGAGGACTCTACTTACCTATAGAAAACCTATTAAAATTGGCTAACAACAGTCACCCGATGTACACATTAAGAGACTTTAACGCCAGACACAGGATTTTCGACAATACAAATAATAACGCCGTGGGAAACGTCCTCAATAATTTAACAAACCTGGGGAAAATCAATCATCTATGTCCTAACTTTCCAACCTGGAGAAATCACAATACACAATCGACACCAGACAAAAATGGTACCAACAACAAAACCTTTTTCAATTACCATATAAAACAAGGACCTCTCACAAGCAGTGATCATCTTCCAATTATACTAACACTGTCAACAAGCCCCATACAGATACCAATAAAAAAAAGAGATTAAAAAAATGAGTAAAACAGACTGGGACAGCTAGAAAGACGACTTAGGTAATCACCATTCGATTAAACTACAAGGGAAAACAACAGAAGACATAGACTCAGAAATGGACAGACTGCACTCAACAATAAAAACATCTATAACCAAACACACTCCTGTTTCACACTTCAGAACATTACCCAACAATAGACTAACAGAAGAAGTTAAATTAATCCAAACCCATTACAATGAAATAAACAGAAATATGGAAAGACACGGCAGTAACAGATGGCGATTTACGACGCAGACAGCACTACAGATAAAATTAAGAGATGCATGTAAGGAAGCAGACAACAAAAAATGGAATGATATTAGAATGGCGGCCGACAAGACTAAAGACACAAAAAATTTTGGACTTCCATAAACAAGATGATGGGGCACAACAAGCAAAAAACCCCATACATTAAAGAAAGGATAGAAGACGAAATGGGAAGACACATACATAGAATCACCCCAAAGCAATATATAGACTATAACTTATTACCTAATAATCAAATAATAACCTTGGGAGAAATGATGCACTGTCTGAGGAAGTTTAAGGAAAAGGCCCCCGGGCTCACAGGTATTACACGAAATATGATCATGAATCTACCTGAAAACATTTTGAAAACATTAATGAACATCTATGACGGATGCTTAATAACCGGTTACTTTCCAGACAAACTAAAATATGCTAAAATTACATTTAATCCCAAGGAGGGCAAGGTTACAAACAGTACAAAATATAGCCCTCAGATTTATTTTAAATATAAAATATACAGACCACAGCAATAATGAGCACCTACACAAAAGAGCAAACTTCTTAACAATCCATGTAGAAATATACATCAATGCCGCAAATATTTGGAACAAAGTTACTGAACTCAACACAGAAACTTACCAAAACTGGATGAATGATATAGATAATGAAGAATTCCAAGAACACAGTTGGTTTAAATCAGCCAGGAAGAAAGTAATTGAACCACCTCCTGCCCCAATATACACATTAAACATTAATAGAGAGAATAAGAGATAAGAACATAAGAAAATAAGGAGTCTGCAATAGGCCGGTTGGCCTGTGCATGGCAGCTCCTGTCGAGAGTTACTACCACTCTCTATCATCCATGAATCTATCTAGCCTCCTTTTGAAACTTTCCAGAGTTCCCGCACTTACTACAAAGTTGCTAAGCTTGTTCCACTCGTCTACCACCCTATTTGTGAATCAGTTTCTTCCTATCTCCCTCCTAAACCTAAACTTATCCAACTTGAATTCGTTGCTCCGAGTCCTATCCTGCTCGGATATTATAAGAACTTTATCTATATCCCCTTTATTGATTCCTTTCACCCACTTAAATACTTCTATCATATCTCCCCGCATTCTTCGTCTTTCTAGGGAATGCAAGTTAAGTTTCTTTAGCCTATCCTGATATGGAAGGTTTCTAAGTCCCGGAATCATTTTTGTTATTCTTCGCTGCACCGACTCTAGTGAATTTATATCCATTCTATAATAGGGGCACCAGAACTGAACCGCATAATCGAGGTGTGGCCTGACTAGCGCAAGATATAGTTGCAATAAGACCTCTGCACTCTTGTTACTTACACTTCCAGATATAAAACCCAATACTCTGTTTGCCTTATTTCGAACATTAACGCACTGTTTTCTAGGCCGTAGGTCCGGGCTTACAAGTACCCCTAGGTCTCTTTCACAAGTCGACTTCTCTAGGTTGATGTTGTTAAGGCTGTATACATTGACAGTATTTGTTCTTCCAATATTAAGTGCGCTACACTTGCTGGATGAGTGACCTACCAGCTCCACTAAGAACCTGGCAGGCCTCTCCATACAGTGTACCTTTAGACTAACACAACTAACATTTAACTAATACATTAGCAAAAAAAAAAAAAGTGACTACCCTCCCAGCACACAAGGACCTGGGAGGGCTCACTAACTCCATCACAGTAAAAAACAAAACAAAACAGTAAAAAGTAATAATAAGCAGCACTATATATATATATATATATATATATATATATATATATATATATATATATATATATATATATATATATACAGTACTAATACAAAGGTCCGATAACCCAAGGGAGCAAAATAAAGATAACAAAAAACAATAGAAAAGAAGAAGCGATCTGGTTGAGCCCAGATTCTTTCTACTCCTACTGTACTTCAGTTTTACCACTTTTCTTCAATCCTTAATAATCTTCTTTCACCTCATAACTCATGACTCCAAAGACAAAGAGATGTTCATTTTACTCAACGCTCTCAAACGGACAAGACCTCCTCTCAACAAGCTCCTCACCACACAGCAACTCCCTAGCTGTGTGGCCCAAGGTTAAAAATGCTTTGATAGTTATTTAGTGGGTCCCTTATTTTTGACCTGACCTGACTAGTCACGTCACCCCCTCTTCTCTTAAGCTCCTCTACGTGTGTGTTGGTGTGGGGATTAGTGGATGACATTATTATGACCTGACCTCATATCTTTAAGGTCACCCTGTATATTTAAGCCTCTCTCTGTCCAAGTAATCCAGTTGCCTCTGAAGATGTCTTGAATAAAGACGAAAGCTAAGGTGCTCCGTTGTTTCCCTTTTCCCGTGTGATTTTATCAAGATTTATCTTATCCATTTTTTCATTGTGGATCTACATGAAATATATATATATATATATATATATATATATATATATATATATATATATATATATATATATATATATATATATATATATATATATATATATTTCATGTAAATCACAATCTGGATAAGATAAATCTTTTTATCAAGATATATATATATATATATATATATATATATATATATATATATATATATATATGCTGATAACCACAAGGAAAGAAGAAAACACGAAGTTCCCAAGCGCTTTCGTGTAATTCACATCTTCAGGGGTGAGTACAGACTAAGAAGTACAAAACAAGGTGTATATACTGTATACAGAAGAGGGTGAGATCAAGTCCACATTGGTCAGGTATTAGGTAATGACCCTACTAATCTTTAAATAGCACACAACGGCTGGTGGTCAGGTCAGATGGTAAGGTGACCCGACCTTCTCACCTGGTTACAAATCTTCTAAATTACAAAATTGTCCAGTTTGTACATGCCATTACTCAAATTCATGTTGAATGCTTCGGTATGTTTAATAAAACTAGTCTTTCTTCTTTCCTTGTGGTTATCAGCATATACCTAGATCAGGAGCACCTACAGTGATTTACTTGCATATATATATATATATATATATATATATATATATATATATATATATATATATATATATATATATATATATATATATATATATATATATATATATATGTAAGTGTGCATGTGAGCCTAACAAAGAGAAAAGAGACAAACACAAAGATAAATTTGACATCTGGCCACATGCACTACGGTATATTATAAACGTTTTTTTGTGATCGAGGATCATGTACAGGTAGCAACGAACTAACGAGAACAACGGTGTTATAGAGAAATCCGACTATGAGAAATATTTGGGAGTAATGGGAAGTAGGAATCTTAAACCAAGTAAACAGTGTGTATTTGCTCGAAACAAGGCTAACAGGGTACTTGGGTTCATATAAAGGAGTGTAAGGGGTCGTTTACACGATCAGTTACCACGTATGGTGGTGGCGAAGTATGGGGTCGGAGCAGGGTACTGACCACTATTTACTGGACGGTGTCTTTACACGGAACTGCCACACCGTCGTTACCGCTCAGTATGTGGTAGACTGCTGGGAAAGAGGTTCATGGCTCCCAGACAGACGAATCAGCGACGGACGGCCGCACTGTTGAGTGTTTTGGCCGCTGGGATGATACTGAAGAAAAAACAAGAAAACGGACTGTGTTGGTGAAAAACTTGTTAAGGAACAAATCTTGTGGTACTTATAACCAAATCTTTGCTGAAATGCCCCGTGAGGACACACAGGACGTGCAACGATACATTTGCATGACCCCTGAAATGTACAACACACTCTTGGATAAAGTACGTCCGCATATTTCCAGGACGGATACACATATGGGGGACTCCATTAGCGGCAGGGACCCACGTAGGTGGCCACGCAACTATTAAGCTCCCACACGTAACTGCCCGGGAAGGGTTGGTGGTTCAGTGTTGCCGTCTACACGATCACTGCCCGCGCACGGCTTCATTACCATGCTTCGAAAACATGCTCCGAGACTGATCGTGTAAACGAGCCCTCAGTTACAAGACCAGGGAGGTCATCCTAAAACTATATCTTGCGCTTGTGATACCTCACTTGGATTACTCAATTCATTTCTGGTCACCGCACTACAGAATCGATATAGAATACTTAGAAAGAATACAGAGGAGAATGACATGACTAATCCCGGGGATTAGGAACCTTGAGTACAGACAGGTTAAAACATCTTAATTTGCACTCCTTCGAGAGACTTAGAGTGAGGGGCGATATGAACGAGGTGTATAAATGGAAGTCAGGGTTAAACAAAGGTGACATTACAAAGGTACTCAATCTATCCAACCAGGAGCGAACTCGTAACAATGGTTTTAAGTTAGACAAATTTATATTTAGGTGCAAAATCGGTAAACACTGGTTTGGAAATAGAGTTGTGGATGAGTGGAACAAGTTACCAAACATCATCATTAACTCTTGTGGGACCACACCTGGATTACGCAGTTCGGTTCTGGTCACCGTATTACAGAATGGATATAGAATCCTTGGAAAGAATTCAGAGGAGAATGACAAGACTAATCCCGGGCATTAGTAACCTTGAGTATAGAGACAGATAAAGCATCTTAATTTGCACTCCCTCGAGAGACGTAGAGCGAGGGGCGACCTGATAGAGGTGTATAAGTGGAAGGCAGGGCTAAACAAAGGGGACATTACAAAGGTACTCAAACTATCCAACCAGGAGCGAACTCGTAACAATGGTTGTAAATTAGACAAATTTAGATTTAGGCGTGAAATAGGTAAACACTGGTTTGGAAACAGAGTAGTGGATGAATGGAACAAGTTACCAAATATCATCATTAACTCGAATAGGCTGAAGTGCTTCAAACATAGGTTGGATGCTTATATGAGCAATAGGGGTTGGGTGTAAACGGGACTGCCCAGTATGGGCCAATTGGCCCGTTGCAGTTTCCTCCATTCTTATGGTCTTATGTTCTAATGCGCTGGGTGGCTTCAAACACAGGTTGGATGGGTATATGAGCGATAGGGGTTGGGTGTAAATGGGACCGCCCAGTATGGGTCAATAGGCCCATTGCAATTTCCTCCATTCTTATGTTCTTATATTAACATTCTGAATGTGAATTCTGTGCCTGGCAGGCATTGTGTGCATAACTGGAAAATTGCAGCTGCCCCAGAATTAGCTATAGCGACACGCGATGTCGGAAAACCACATAGATCTGTTGTGGAGGGTCTGAGACGACTAGGAGTGTGCTATCCCGAGTGTTGAGCCCTTGACGTGACCTCCTAAATCCCGCCGACTGTCGTTAGGTGAAATTAAGCCTGTGTATTGGTACCAGCCAACCTGTATGTGCTTTTTATTCTTGTATGTATTATT